CCAACCCCGGCTTCATGCTCCAGCTCGACTTCTACGAGGGCATCCTGAGCGCCAGCAGGGGGGGGACAGGGTGGGGACAGGGTGGGGACACCCTGGGGACACCCTGGGGATGGGGAGACAGCATGGGGACAGCGTGGGGATGTGGGGACAGTGTGGGGACACCCCAGGGATGGCGGGGGGACACCCCAGGAGTGGGGGTCTCTCTTTCTGGGGGATGGAGGGGACATCCCGGGCATGGGGACACCAGGGATGGGGACACGGAGGGAATGGGGACACCAGGAATGGGGACACCCAGGGCATGGGGGGACAGCGTGGGGACAGTGTGAGGCCAAGGTGGGGACAGTGTGGGGACACCCCGCGAATGGGGACACTGGGAATGGGGACACCCCAAAATGGGGCCCTGGCAGAGCAGGGACACCCCAGCACCGGGGGGATCCCGGGAACGGGGGCACCCCGAAGGAGGAGGACCCCAAAGCCCGGGTGCCCCCATGAGCACGGCCCCCCAAACCCCAAGCCCAACCCCCCACTCACCAGGGTCACGTTCCTCCTCCTCCTCCCCGCGGGCACCCAGTGGGGGTCTCTCTTTCTGGGGGATGGAGGGGAAATCCCGGGTATGGGGACACCAGGGATGGGGACACGGAGGGCATGGGGGGACAGCGTGGGGACAGTGTGGGGACACCCCGCAAATGGGGACACTGGGAATGGGGACACCCCAAAATGGGGCCCTGGCAGAGCAGGGACACCCCAGCACCGGGGGGATCCCGGGAACGGGGGCACCCCGAAGGAGGAGGACCCCAAAGCCCGGGTGCCCCCATGAGCACGGCCCCCCAAACCCCAAACCCAACCCCCCACTCACCAGGGTCACGTTCCTCCTCCTCCTCCCCGCGGGCACCCACCACGAGCGGGCCGGGGGCTCCTCGGGGGGCTCCCCCTGGCCCGGCAAACCAGCCCCTGTGTGGAGACATGACCCCAAAAACAGCCCCAAAGCCAGAAACAGCCCCCACCCCAAACCCAGCCCCAACCCCAAAAACAGCCCCAAACCCAGAAACAGCCCCCACCCCAAAACAACCCTGTCAGGAACCTTGACCCCATTTTGGTTTTGGGTTCCCGAGGAGGGGTCTCTGTTTTTGGGGATCTCATTTTGGGGGTGTTTCTGTTTTTTGGGGTCTCTGTTTTTTGGGGTTTCTGTTTTTGGGGTCTGTTTTGGGGGGTGTCTCTGTTTTTGGGGTCTCTGTTTTTTGGGGTGTCTCTGTCTTAGGGTCTCTGTTTTGGGGATCTCATTTTGGGGTGTCTCTTTTTTTAGGGTCTCTGTTTTAGGGTCTCTGTTTTCGGGTTTCTGTTTTGGGGTCGCTATTTTAGGGTCTCTGTTTTGGGGTCTCTGTTTTTGGGGTCCTTTTGGGGATCTCTATTTTGGGGGTGTGTCTGTTTTGCGGGGTGGGGAGGGGTCTCGTTTCGGGGGGTCTCTCACCGTGACCTCGAAGCGGACGGCGCTGCCCACCTGGCTCTCCCTCTTCACCGCGCTCTCCCCCACCACCTGCCCCCCAAAAAACAGCCGGGGGGGCACGGCCACGCTGCGGGGACAGCCCTGCCGTGAGGGGGGGTCCCGACCCCAAAGCCGCCCCCCGGGCACCCCAAAGCCCCCTCCCCACTCACCCGCTCACGGCCAGGGGCAGCTCGATGACCACGCGGGCGCGGGCGACCACCGGCCGCAGCCCCGGCTGCTCGCTGGTCCTGGGGGTGAAACCCCGAAAGAGAAACCCCAAGGGGGTGCGGTGAGCCCCAAAGGCAGCCCCCCGACCCTAAATGCTGGGGGGCCGGACTGTAAAACTGCCGGGGTTTTGTCCCCAAATCCTGGGAGTCTGACCCCAAATCCCCTGGGATTCCAGCACCCAAACCCTGGGGGCTCTGACCCCCAAACCCGGGGGTCTCCATCCCCAAACCCCTCGGGGCTCTGGCCCCAAATCCTGGGGGCTCCAAACCCCAAATTCCCCATAGCTCTTACCCGGGGGTCTCTATCCCAAAATCCCGGGTGTCCCATCCCCACTCCCGGGTGTCCCATCCCCACCCCGGGTGTCCCATCCCCACCCCGGGGGTCCCATCCCCACTCCTGTTTTAGGGTCTCTGTTTTGGGGTTTCTGTTTTGGGGTCGCTATTTTAGGGTCTCTGTTTTGGGGTCTCTGTTTTTGGGGTCCTTTTGGGGATCTCTATTTTGGGGGTGTGTCTGTTTTGGCGGATCTCTGTTTGGGGTGTGTCTGTTTTGCGGGGTGTGTCTCTCTTTTGGGGAGGGGTCTCGTTTCGGGGGGTCTCTCACCGTGACCTCGAAGCGGACGGCGCTGCCCACCTGGCTCTCCCTCTTCACCGCGCTCTCCCCCACCACCTGCCCCCCAAAAAACAGCCGGGGGGGCACGGCCACGCTGCGGGGACAGCCCTGCCGTGAGGGGGGGTCCCGACCCCAAAGCCGCCCCCCGGGCACCCCAAAGCCCCCTCCCCACTCACCCGCTCACGGCCAGGGGCAGCTCGATGACCACGCGGGCGCGGGCGACCACCGGCCGCAGCCCCGGCTGCTCGCTGGTCCTGGGGGTGAAACCCCGAAAGAGAAACCCCAAGGGGGTGCGGTGAGCCCCAAAGGCAGCCCCCCGACCCTAAATGCTGGGGGGCCGGACTGTAAAACTGCCGGGGTTTTGTCCCCAAATCCTGGGAGTCTGACCCCAAATCCCCTGGGATTCCAGACCCCAAATCCTGGGAATCTGACCCCAAATCCCCTGGGATTCCAGACCCCAAATCCCCTGGGATTCCAGCCCCCAAATCCCCTGGGAGTCTGACCCCAAATCCCCTGGGATTCCAGCCCCCAAATCCTGGGAATCTGACCCCAAATCCCCTGGGATTCCAGCCCCCAAATCCCGGGGGCTCTGGACCCCAAAGTCTGGGGGGTCTGACCCCCAAATTCCCCAGAGATTTACCCCAAATCCTGGGGTTCTGACCCCAAATCCCCTGGGATTCCAGCACCCAAACCCTGGGGGCTCTGACCCCCAAACCCGGGGGTCTCCATCCCCAAACCCCTCGGGGCTCTGGCCCCAAATCCTGGGGGCTCCAAACCCCAAATTCCCCATAGCTCTTACCCGGGGGTCTCTATCCCCAAATCCCGGGGGTCCCATCCCCACTCCCGGGGGTCTCCATCCCCAATCCCGGGGGTCCCATCCCCACTCCCGGGGGTCTCCATCCCCAATCCCGGGGGTCTCCATCCCCACTCCCGGGGGTCTCCATCCCCAATCCCGGGGGTCTCCATCCCCACTCCCAAAATCCCGGGTGTCCCATCCCCACTCCCGGGTGTCCCATCCCCACCCCGGGTGTCCCATCCCCACTCCCGGGGGTCTCCATCCTCACCCCGGGTGTCCCATCCCCACTCCCGGGGGTCTCCATCCCCAATCCCGGGGGTCCCATCCCCACTCCCGGGGGTCTCCATCCCCAATCCCGGGGGTCTCCATCCCCACTCCCGGGGGTCTCCATCCCCAATCCCGGGTGTCCCATCCCCACCCCGGGGGTCCCATCCCCACTCCCGGGGGTCCCATCCCCACTCCCGGGGGTCTTCATCCCCACTCCCGGGGGTCCCAGCCCCACTCCCGGGGGTCCCAGCCCCCCGGCCGGCTCACGTGGACAGCTCCAGCTGCACCTCCAGCTCCGTGGTGTGGATGGAGATGCCCGAGGTGCTGAGGATGAGGAAGAGCCGCACCTGGGGGAGGGGCAGGTGGGCGCTGAGGGGCAAAACTCCCCTTTTCCCCCCAAACACCCACCTGGGATGGTGGGGGGCTCGGTGAGGCCGCAGGCGCGCAGGCGCAGAGTGACCACAGAGTGACCACAGAGTGACCCCAGCCCAGACCCCCAGGGTGACCCCAGAGTGACCCCAGAGTGATCCCAGTGACCCCAGAGTGACCCCAACCCAGACCCCTGAGTGTCCCCTGTCCCCTGTGTCCCTGTCCCTGTCCCCGTGTCCCTGTCCCTGTCCCTGTCCCTGTGTCCCTGTCCCTCTGTCCGTGTCCCTGTCCCCCATCCCCTGTCCCTCTGTCCCTGTCCCCGTGTCCCTGTCCCTGTCCCTGTCCCTGTGTCCCTGTCCCTCTGTCCGTGTCCCTGTCCCCGTGTCCGTACGGCGGTGCCCGCGGGCTCCTCGGCCCTCACGGCGGCGTAGGGCAGCTCCGGGGGGAAGGTGCCCACGAGCAGGGCCTGGTGGGCATCGTCCCCGTCGCGCTGCGGCTGCGCGGGGTCCGAGGGCTCGTTGGTCACCAGCACCTCCAGCGCCACGTCCCGCTGGTCACTCACGGCGAAGATGGCAGTGCCATCCTCGTCCCTGCGGGCACAGCTGGGTCAGAGCTCTGGGGACATCCCTGGGGACTCAGGGTGAGGTGGCAGTGCCATCCTTGCACGTGTGACTGCCTTGGGGACATCCCCAGGCACCCAGGGTGAGGTGGCAGTGCCATCCTCATCCCTGCGGGCACAGCCGGGTCACAGCTCTAGGGACATCCCGGGCACTCACAGAGAGGTGGCAGTGCCAGCCTTGCATGTGTCACCCTTGGGGACATTCCTGGGCACTCACAGAGAGGTGGCAGTGCCAGACTCACCCCCGTGACCCCCTGGGGACATCCCGCTCCCTCCTGGGAGGTGGCAGTGCCACCCTCGTCCCCGTGACTCCCTTGGGGACACCGCGGTCCCTCTCGGCAGGTGGCAGTGCCATCCTCACCCCTGTGACTCCCTTGGGGACACCGCGGTCCCTCTGGGAGGTGGCAGGGGTGGCAGGGGTGGCAGGGGTGGCAGGGGTGGCAGGTGCCAGCGCTGGCAGGGGTGTCAGTGCCCCCGTGGCCGCTGTCGCTCACCGCGGCAGGGGCACGAAGTCGCTGTCGCCCAGGCGGGCGCAGAAGCGCGGCCGCAGCTCCAGGTGGCTCTGGCAGATTTTGTCATCGCCGCAGCCCTGGCGCAGGAAATGCACCTGGGGGACACGGGGACATCGTGGGGACACCGCGGGGACATCGTGGGGACACCGCGGGGACATCGCGGGGACATCGTGGGGACACCGCGGGGACACCCTGGGGACACCGCGGGGACACCCTGGGGACACCGCGGGGACACCGCGGGGACATCCCAGGGACACGGGGACACCGCGGGGACACACCGGGGACACAGCGGGGACACGGGAAGGACACAGGGACAGACAGGAGGACACAGAGGGGACACTGCCGGTGTCCCAAGCTGGGATGGGGGGACATGGAGGGACACAGGGTGACACGGGGTGTGACACAGGGGGTGGCACAGGGTGGCACAGGGTGGCACAGGGGGTGACACAGGGTGGCACAGGGTGCCCCAGGTGGCAGTGCCCACCTCGGTGCGCAGCGTGCTGGGCTGGCGCGGGCTGGGGGTGACACAGGATGACACAGGGTGGCACAGGGTGACACAGGGTGGCACAGGGTGCCCCAGGTGGCAGTGCCCACCTCGGTGCGCAGCGTGCTGGGCTGGCGCGGGCTGAGGGTGACACAGGGGGTAGCACAGGGTGGCACAGGGTGACACAGGGGTGACACAAGGTGACACAGGGGGTGACCCGGGTGGCAGTGCCCACCTCGGTGCGCAGCGTGCTGGGCTGGCGCGGGCTGGGGGTGACACAGGATGACACAGGGTGGCACAGGGTGACACAGGGGTGACACAAGGTGACACAGGGGGTGACCCGGGTGGCAGTGCCCACCTCGGTGCGCAGCGTGCTGGGCTGGCGCGGGCTGGGGGTGACACAGGATGACACAGGGTGGCACAGGGTGACCCAGGGTGGCACAGGGGGTGGCACAGGGTGGCACAGGGTGACCCAGGATGACACAGGGGGTGACACAGGGGTGACACAAGGTGGCACAGGGTGGCCCGGGTGGCAGTGCCCACCTCGGTGCGCAGCGTGCTGGGCTGGCGCGGGCTCAGCGCGGGCTCCAGGGGTGGCAGCGCCGTCCCCGGGTCCCCCCGGTGCCACCCGCGCGTCCCCGCGATGGCGAAGGCCAGCGTCACCTCCAGCGGGCGCAGCTTGTCCCGGATGTCGTCCTGAGGAGGAGGAGGGGGGAGGAAGGTCAGGGGGCACTGGGGACACGGCACAGCTGGCACAGCTGGCACAGCTGGGGGGACACGGGGACAGGGATCGGGGGAGGAAGGGGAGGGTGAGGAGGGCGAGGATGAGGAGGATGAGGAAGATGAGGGTGAGGAAGATGAGGGTGAGGAAGATGAGTGTGAGACTGAGGAAGGTGAGGCTGAGGAGGCTGAGGATGAGGAGGGTGAGGAAGATGAGGATGAGAAAAGTGAGGCTGAGGAGGGTGAGGGCAGGGCCGGCGGTGAGGAAGGTGCGGCAGAGGAAGAGGAGGGTAAGGCTGAGGAGGGTGAGGAAGGTGAGGATGAGGAGGGTGAGGCTGAGAATGAGGAAGAGAAGGCTGAGGAAGAGGAGACGGAGGAAGAGGAGGCTGAGGATGATGAGAAGGATGAGAAGGAAGAGGAGGCTGAGGCTGAGGCTGAGGATGAGGCTGAGGAAGAGGAGGCAGAGGGTGAGAAGGCAGAGGAGAAGGAGGCAGAGGAGGCAGAGGATGAAGAAGAGGCAGAGGCTGAGGGTGAGGATGGGGCTGAGGGTGAGGATGAGGAAGAGGCCAAAGATGAGGCTGAGAGTGAGGAAGAGGCTGAGGGTGAGGAGGCAGAGGCTGAGGAGGAGGAGGAGGATGAGGATGAGGCCGAGGATGAGGGTGAGGATGAGGATGAGGCCGAGGATGAGGAAGAGGATGAGGATGAGGCCGAGGATGAGGGTGAGGATGAGGAAGAGGCCAAAGATGAGGCTGAGAGTGAGGAAGAGGCTGAGGGTGAGGAGGCAGAGGCTGAGGATGAGGGTGAGGAAGAGGATGAGGCTGAGGCCGAGGATGAGGAGGAGCCGAGGCCGAGGCACGCACTTGCAGGCGGAAGGCGGCGGGCACGCAGCGCCGCTCCCGCGGCCGCGGCAGCTCCAGGCGCGCCCCCAGCCGGTGCTCGGGCTGCGCCGGGCCCCGCGCCGGGAACGACCCCCGCGGCTGCAGCCCCCGCGCCCGGCGCTCCGCGTCCGCCTCCAGCAGCAGCTGCAGCTCTGCCAGAGAGGGGAGGGGGCTCAGAGGATGGGGGCCCAAAGGATGGGGAGGGGTCCCAAGGATGGGGAGGGGTCCCAAGGATGGGGGCCCAAAGGATGGGGAGGGGTCCCAAGGATGGGGAGGGGACCCAAGGATGGCACGGTGGCACCCACCAGACGCCGCGGCCGTCGCCGCAGTTGCTCTGCTCCAGGTCGATGAGCGGCGGCTGCACGGACACGTTCCGGGACACGTGCACCACCGGCCGCGCCCTGCCGGGAAAAACGGGGGGCCCGGGGAGCCCCCCAGCCCTGAGCGCCCCCCCGGGACCCCCGCAGGGACCCCCGAGGGGCGGGGGGCTCGGGGAGGCGGAATTCGGGGAGGGGGTTCTGGGGGGCTTGGGGGTCCTGGGGAAGGGGAATTGACAGGGGGGCTCGGGGATTTGGGGGGGCTCAGGGACCTCAGGAATTGAGGGATTCTGGGGGGTCCCAGAGCCGGGGGGCTTTGGGATCCTCAGGAATTGGGGGATTCTGGGGGGGGGTCTCCTATCGGGGGGTCCCTGGGGGCGGGGGTCTCACCTGTAGAGCACCACGGTGTCCGACAGGGACCCCACGAGCAGGTCGGGGTGCAGGTTCCCGTCCACGTCCAGCCCCCCCGAGAGCGAGTAGCCAAAGGCCGAGACCCCCACGGCCTCCCCGTCCAGGACCTGGGCGGGGGGCGCCTCTGGCTGAGCCTGGAGACCCCCGGGGACCCCCCGAGACCCCCCCCGGGACCCCCGGGACCCCCTCACCTGCGCCGGGCGGGTGACGATGCCCAGGGCGCTGCCGTGGTAAATGAAAACTTTGCCCGCGCCGTCGAAAGGAGCCCCCACGGCCAAGTCTGGGGGGAATTTGGGGGGATTTGGGGAAATTCGGGGGGATTTGGAGGGCCAGACCCCTCCCCAGGGATCCCTTGGGGTGCAGCCCCCCGCCCCAAGGTGGCACCGGCACCCCAAAAAGCCCCCGAGCCCCCCAGGCTTGGGGGGTGTTGTGCCCCAGGGAGACCTCCCAAAATCTTGGGGACCCCAAAAATAATCCCCCAAATCCTCCCCCCACTAAAAACCCCTCAGCCGAAATTCTGCCATGGCTGGTCCTCGGAGACCCCAAATCCCCCCCAAATCCCCCCAAAATCTCCCCAAATCCCCCCAAAGCCCGTCACCCTCAAACCCATCCAGGGTTTGGTCCCTCCCCGGACCCCAAAACACCCCCAAATCAGGTGACAGTTCTGGTGTCCTGGCTGTCCCTATGACCCAGGTGACAGTGACAGTGACCCAGGTGACAGTGACCAGGTGACAGTGACAATGACAGTGACACAGTGACAGTGATGCAATGACCCAGGTGACAGTGACAGTGACCCAGGGGACAGTGACCAGGTGACAGTGACAATGACAGTGACACAGTGACAGTGATGCAATGACCCAGGTGACAGTGACAGTGACCCAGGGGACAGTGACCAGGTGACAGTGACAATGACAGTGACACAGTGACAGTGACAGTGACACAGTGACACAATGACCAGGTGGCAGTGACAGTGCCACAGTGACAGTGACACAATGAGCAGGTGACAGTGACAGTGGCAGTGACAGCGATACAATGACAGTGACACAGTGACAGTGATGCAATGACCCAGGTGACAGTGACAGTGACAGTGACACAGTGACAGCGATACAGTGACAGTGACGCAGTGACAGTGACACAATGACCAGGTGGCAGTGACGCAGTGACAGTGATACAATGGGCAGGTGACAGTGGCAGTGACAGTGACAGTGACAGTGACACAGTGACAGCGATACAGTGACAGTGATGCAGTGACAGTGACACAGTGACAGTGACCAGGTGACAGTGACACAGTGACAGTGACACAGTGACAGTGACACAGTGACAGTGACCAGGTGACAATGACAGTGACACAATGACCCAGGTGGCAGTGACGCAGTGACAGTGACACAGTGACACAGTGACAGTGACGCAGTTACCAGGTGGCAGTGGCAGTGCCACCGTGGCCGGCCCCGCACCCGTCGCTGTTGAGGTCCAGCAGGGCCAGCGCGTGGCCGAAGGCCGAGCTCAGCTGCGGGCCGCCCAGCACGGCCTCGGCCAGCAGCCGGCTGGCGCTGCCGCGCCGCAGGATCAGCACGGCGCCCGTGTGGTTGGCGCGGGGCGCGCCCGTGACAAAGCTCAGCTCGTGCCGCCGCGTCAGCCCCGCGCCCGCGTCCACCGAGAACCCTGCGGGCAGGGGACAGCGCCGTCACCGCCCGGGGACACGGGGACACACCTGTCACCGCCCGGGGACACGGGGACAGCGCTGTCACCGCCCGGGGACACGGGGACAGACCTGTCACCGCCCGGGGACACGGGACAGCAGTGACACAGTGACACAATGACCAGGTGGCAGTGACAGTGCCACAGTGACAGTGACACAATGAGCAGGTGACAGTGACAGTGGCAGTGACAGCGATACAATGACAGTGACACAGTGACAGTGATGCAATGACCCAGGTGACAGTGACAGTGACAGTGACACAGTGACAGCGATACAGTGACAGTGACGCAGTGACAGTGACACAATGACCAGGTGGCAGTGACGCAGTGACAGTGATACAATGGGCAGGTGACAGTGGCAGTGACAGTGACAGTGACAGTGACACAGTGACAGCGATACAGTGACAGTGATGCAGTGACAGTGACACAGTGACAGTGACCAGGTGACAGTGACACAGTGACAGTGACACAGTGACAGTGACCAGGTGACAGTGACAATGACACAGTGACACAGTGACCAGGTGACACAATGACCCAGGTGACAGTGACAATGACACAGTGACACAGTGACCAGGTGACAGTGGCAGTGACAGTGACAGCGATACAGTGACGCAGTGACAGTGACACAGTGACGCAGTGACAGTGACACAGTGACACAGTGACAGTGACGCAGTGACCAGGTGGCAGTGGCAGTGCCACCGTGGCCGGCCCCGCACCCGTCGCTGTTGAGGTCCAGCAGGGCCAGCGCGTGGCCGAAGGCCGAGCTCAGCTGCGGGCCGCCCAGCACGGCCTCGGCCAGCAGCCGGCTGGCGCTGCCGCGCCGCAGGATCAGCACGGCGCCCGTGTGGTTGGCGCGGGGCGCGCCCGTGACAAAGCTCAGCTCGTGCCGCCGCGTCAGCCCCGCGCCCGCGTCCACCGAGAACCCTGCGGGCAGGGGACAGCGCCGTCACCGCCCGGGGACACGGGGACACACCTGTCACCGCCCGGGGACACGGGGACAGCGCTGTCACCGCCCGGGGACACGGGGACAGCGCTGTCACCGCCCGGGGACACGGGGACAGCTCTGTCACCCCCCAGAGCCCTGCGGGCAGGGGACAGCGCCGTCACCGCCCGGGGACACGGGACAGCCCTGTCACTACCCAGGGGACACGGGACAGCGGTGTCACCTTGGGGCCAACCAGGGGACAGCCCTGTCACCGCCCGGGGACACGGGACAGCGCTGTCACCAGCCGGGGGACACGGGGACAGCTCTGTCACCCCCCAGAGCCCTGCGGGCAGGGGACAGCGCCGTCACCGCCCGGGGACACGGGACAGCCCTGTCACTACCCAGGGGACACGGGACAGCGGTGTCACCTTGGGGCCAACCAGGGGACAGCCCTGTCACCGCCCGGGGACACGGGACAGCGCTGTCACCAGCCGGGGGACAGGCGGGGACACGCCAGGCTCTGGGACCCCCCACAAAAGCTCTGGGAGCCCCCCAAGCCTGGCAGTGCCCGCAGCACAGCCCTGGCACAGCGACGGGACGGGGACAGGGACAGGGACAGGGACAGGGTCTGGTGACACAGGGACGGTGACACCGGGGTGGGGACACAAGAGGAGCGGGGTCGTGCGGTGGCGGGGGGGCGTGATGCGGCCACGCGTGTGCGCGTGCGGGGTGACACGGAGGGGACAGCGAGGGGACAGGGAGGGGACAGGGTGGGGACAGGGCCCCGTCTGGGGACACGGCGGGGGGATCCGTGTCCCCACGGGGACACGAGCGCGCAGGTGACACCCCAGGGACACCCCCGAGGACCAGGGTGACACCAGAGGGGGGACACGCGTGACAGGAGCCCCGCGGGGACAGCGCCACACGCGTGTGCCCGCGGGGGGCGAGGGGAGGGGGCGGCACGGCACGGGGGGGTCACACAGGGCACAGGGTGGCACAGGGTGGCACAGGGCGGCACACGGGTGGCACACGGGTGGCACCACGCACGAACCCAGGTAGGAATTGTGCCCCACGTCCGCGGCCGCTCCCGGGACCCTCTCTCCGGGCTCGGGGGTCCTGAAGACCCTCTGGTCGGGGGTCGCGCTCTCAATGTTTGTCACAAAGAGCAGCCCTGGGGGGGGGCGGGGGTCAGCGCGGGCGGGGGGCGCGGGGGTCCCCCCGTACCGAGGTAGCTGTTGGCGGGCAGGGGGATCAGGGAGGGGTCCTGCTCCTTCTCGCCCCCCGCCTCGAACGGGCCGGAGTCCGGGAGCAGCAGGTCCAGGGAGCTCTGCCGGAGCTGCTCCAGGCGCACGGTGCCTGCGGCCCGGGGACACCGGGGACAGTGGGGCCAGGGGGATCAGGGAGGGGTCCTGCTCCTTCTCGCCCCCCGCCTCGAACGGGCCGGAGTCCGGGAGCAGCAGGTCCAGGGAGCTCTGCCGGAGCTGCTCCAGGCGCACGGTGCCTGCGGCCCGGGGACACCGGGGACAGTGGGGCACTCAGGGGACACCGCGGGGACACCCAGGGGACACCGGGGACACTCAGGGGACACCGGGGACACCCAGGGGGACACCCAGGGGGACACCCAGGGGGACACCCAGGGGGACACCCAGGGGGACACCCAGGGGACACCGGGGACACCCAGGGGACACCACGGGGACACCCAGGGGACACCCAGGGGACACTGGGGACACTTAGAGGGACACCGCGGGGACACCGCGGGGACACCGCGGGGACACTTAGAGGGACACCCGGGAACGAGGAGGGGGGCCGGAGTGGCTCCAAGGGCAGGGACCCCACCCCAGGGGATGGAGGGGACAGTGGGGACACCGCGGGGACACTCAGGGGACACTCAGGGGACACCGCAACACGTGGAGCGACCCCCGGGGATGGGGGGCGGAGCCGCTCCAAGGGCAGTGACCCCTCCCCAAGGGACACCGCGGGGACACTTAGGGGGACACTCAGGGGACACTCAGGGGACACTCGGGGGACACCCGGGGACGAGGAGTGGGATGGAGCGGCTCCAAGGGTGGGGACCCCTCCCCAGGGGATGGAGGGGACATGGGGACACCGGGGACACTCAGAGGGACCCCCGGGGATGGGGAGGGGGAATGGAGCAGTTCCAGGGACAGGGACCCCTCCCCAAGGGACACGGGGACACCGCAGGGACACTCAGGGGGACACCCGGGGACGAGGAGTGGGATGGAGCGGCTCCAAGGGTGGGGACCCCTCCCCGAGGGACGTGGGGACACCGCGGGGACACTCAGGGGACCCTCAGGGGACGGGGAGGGGGGGATGGAGCCGCTCCAAGGGTGGGGACCCCTCCCCAGAGTGAGAGGGGGACACCACAGGGGACCCCCGGGGACACCGAGGGACCCTCGTGCCCAGCATCACCCGGGCACAGCTGAACCTCCCCACTCCCCCTCCCTCCCAATTGTGGGTACCCCACCCCTCACACCCCCAAATCCCCCCGGAGGGGTCCCAGCATCCCTCACCCTCCCAGTTATGGGTGTCACACCCCCCAAACCCACCGTGGGGGTCCCAATTCTGTCTCCCAAACCCTCCTGGAGTGATTCCACCACCCCTCACCCTCCCAGTTATGGCTCCCAAACCCCCTGGGGGGGG